ATGAGACTAGAAACATGAGCAGTTTTGCGAGTCCCAGTCGTGTTTTTAACCTCAATCCATCCTCGGTCGGGGACCAGACACTGGCTGCCCCAGGTACCAGGGCTGGACAAGAATACGACGTGTCTGCAAGTGCTGATGATGGAGGGGAATTCTTTAGGATGTGGGAGGGTGACACTGATCAAAGGGACCGTTTAGGTGGCCCACCGGGCAACGCTCGATCGCTGTGGAAGGAGATCTCCGAGGCAGGAGGAACCCAGGGTGCTACCTTGAAGTAGTTGATTTCGAAGATGGCTTCAGGGTACGGCAGGTTGTAGCTCTGCAGATTGGCGTAGAGCCCCGTGCCGGGCGACCGGAAGTCCGGGATCCCCGCGGCTGAGGGACACAAGGGGAGCCTCTTGGAAAACCCACCCAAATGCCGAGCGGTGTTGGTCAATGGGATGCCTCAATGCCGGGGGAGCCCTCTAGCAAGGGGCTGGTCACCTCCTTGTCCCTCAGCCTAGCAGGGGAGCAGTTTTCTCGTAACACTCATTTTCTGGGGTGCCACCCGCACGTTTTAGATCAGCTGTGGGCAGAGCTATCAGGTTCTAGGGATTCTGGATTCTTCACCGGGACTTGGGAACAGCCAAAGTCCCCCAACTCCCCACAGAATCCATCCCAGGTTTCTCAGGGAGCCCACTCCAGGTGAGGACAGGTCTTCTGCGAGTCTGACCAGTGCTAGGTCATAAAGTTCCTGGCCACATACCTCAGTGCTGGGTCTTGCTGCCCAGGTGCTTTGGCTATGAAACTCGGCCACTGTGCAAGTCTGGATGTGCAATATAACCCCACGAACTGCTCCGCCACTGCCCAACAGGGGGCGCTGTGATGCCAGAGCTGCTGTCTTTCAAACAAGACTTCAAGTCCTGAACGTTCCTGGTCGCTCAAGGTCCCATAGCACCTTCCCCCTCCCTTCTGCCCAATAACACCCTGGCATTAGAGACAGCGTCCTGGTCAAATTCCAGACAGCGCTATTCCATCCTGCCTCCCCGCCATCCTCCTGCAGTTTCAATCAGATCCAGGATTCATCTTCACTGTGCAACTGTCACGCTCCACACCAGAGGCAGATGCGTGATCCCTGCATAAACAGCTGCTGTGCCCCAACCCCAGAACTGGCTGCGTCTCAGCACTGGAGGAGGGACCAGTACAAACAGCTGCCAACCTCAAGAGTCGTCTGCATTTCCGTGGAGGGGCGAGCGATCCCTGTACAAACAGCTGCCGCGTTCCACCCCAGAGGTGGCTGCATTTCAGCAGTGGCTTGTAGACAGCTTTGGGATGGAAAGCGCTATAGAAACACTAGGGGAAACTGAGCCGTATCAGAACCCCCTCGGTTTATTGCTACACGCTGGTTTCTTTTCAAAGTGAACGATCTAACCGCCGCGCCGCTGCTGTACTCACAGGTTGAGATCCCAGCGCCCACTATGCAGACGACGTTCCTGCCTGCAAGGTAACAGAGGGAGGCGTCAAACCTGACTCTGGAAAGCTACTCGGGAAACAGCCCCAAGCTCTAGGCGCTTCCAGGGGAGGGCGGGTGCCGTTGGTAGACTTCACGGCAGCCACCTGGCCCAATTTGCAAACCTCTAGACTCTCAGGTCTAAGATCTAGATCAAAACTGCACTCCTGACCTCTGCTGGACCAGGTCCTGATCTGCAGTGACGCGCAGGCCCCTCTGTGCCGCCCCGGGGAGGAACAGCCCTCTAAGAGCATCCCTAGGGGCTCCCCAGCTGGCATAAAGGCCCCCGCTTCCAGCATGGGGGACCAGAACTCACTGCACTATGGCAATTCTCTGCTTCATAGGGGCCATGGGAAGCAGAGACCCAGCAGAGCAGCCCTGAGGCAGCTCTAAGTTATGCCAGGCCCAGAACACGAGCGGCACAAGGGAGGTTTAAAGACACCTCCACCAAGCCTGTCCCAAGTGCCGAGAAGGAGTAACCGTGGATCAGGCCCACGGAGGCTGGATCTCTCCCAGCAGCACAGGAGCTGTGCAAGTCAGACTTGTCCCCCGGCTTGTACATTACACCAGCATGGAGTCCCTGCCACATTCACGGTCGGCTCTATGCCTCCCTCTCGGCAGCCCCTCTGGCCCCTGGTCTCTCCCAGGCATGGTTACCCCCAGCACCTTCCCCTTCCCATTTGGGGGATCAGAATGAGGGTTGGCCCCCTGCTTGGTCTCAGGGCAGCTTCCTCCCAAGAAGGGAGAGTCAGCTTACACTTCTCGCTTTGCATGAAGCGGCTCACTCCGTCCAACGTCAGCTCATCCAGCACCTTCTCCGGCTTCTCGCTGCCCAGGCCCAGCGTCCGGGACAGGAGGTGTCGCAGGAAATCCACTGAAAGGGAGAGAACAAACGTTAGCCGCTGGGGTCCCCTAGGAGCCAGGACTCCTGGATTCTGTTCCCAGCTCTGGAAAGGGAGTGGGGGGCTAGTGGTTACAGCAGGGTAGCTGGGGGCCAGGACTCCTGGGTTCTATCCCCAGCTGTGGGAAGGAAGTGGAGGTAGTGGTTAGTGCAGGAGGGGCTGGGAGCCAGGATACCTGGGTTCTAATCCCAGCTCCTCCACAGATTTACTGAGCAGTCTTGGGCAAGGCAGTGCCCCGCCCTATGCCTCAGTTTCCCCCTCAGGAACCCATTTCTTCCCATTTCCCAATCTCAAAGAGGGGGATGATTGTGAAAATTAGTTAATGTTTGGAAAGTGCCCTGAAGATGCTACGTAAGAGGGGAAGGAGGGCCCAGTGGTTAGGGTTCAAATCACAGCTCTGCAACGGACTCCTTGTGGGACACCGGACAAGTCACTCGGGCCTGACGTACGCTGCAAAGTTCTCCCCAAGCAGCTCTGTGGGCTAGGAGTGTTCATGCCCACTAGGCAACACAGCTGTGCCAGCAGAACCCCCAGTGGCGACGCAGCGAAACCAGAAGAAAAGCGCGCCTGTCAATTCAGTTAACGTCTTTTGTGGAGGTGGTGTCGCCGGACTGGCAGGCTCCATGCCTCAGTTTCCCCATCTGTACACTGGGAATAATGGTGCTGCCCTGCCTCCCAGGGTGTTATGAGGACAAATATGTTAGAAACCAGGAGGCGTTCAGGAGCCCGACAAGCGTAATCAACAAAGCTTAATCAATCCCGATTCCGGACACAGACCAATTTTTGCCTCGAAACCCGGACAGAAAAAGCTGGTCTAACTGCAGATTCACCCGATGCTTTAGAGCCTCCCGAGAGGAAGGAATAGCCATAAATTAATAGACCCAGCTGGCTCTCACAGGCTCTCACTAGCTGGCTATGCACAGTCCAGCCCCTCTGTATCACAAAGGAAGCCCACACAGCTTGGCCTCCCCCCGCTCCCCATCCCGCCCCTACAATAATGCACAAGCCACCTACTTTCAGACTCTCCAGAGGCGCCACCGTTTTCGGAGTCAGAATCGGAGTCCTGAAGAACAAAATATAGAAAGATCAGTGGGTGAAGTAAGGCAACGTGAACACAGAACTGCCTTCTACGTTTAGTGGCTACTGTTAGAAGTATCTCAGTCTGGGGTAGAATCGGCTGGGGAATTGGAACCAAAGAGAGTCAGGACTCCTGGGTTCTAGCCCCAGCTGCAGGAGGAAAGTGGGGTCTAAATGACTGGATGGGGGCTTGCGGGGGGATCAGGACTCCTGGGTTCTATCCAGCTCTGGAAGGGGAGTGGGGTCGAGTCGGTTTTAGAGCAGGGAGATGGAGGGTCAGGACTCCTGGGTTCTATTCCCGGCTCTACGAGGGAGCGTGCTTTGGTGGTTTATCACCAGAGAAGGGTTTGAAGATCAGGACCAAACTCCGTCCCTCTAAGGATTTTCACGCCAGACACAGAAGGGACAATTTGCACAGCTGTTGGCTCAGACTCTCACCGCAGTCCAGTGTCACTGCTGTGGGATTTGAAAGCCACAAGGGGCTGAGCCCTGGGGACAGATGGCAGACAGGAGGGACAGGGTTAGCTAGGACCGGATGGGGTTTCCCCTTGTCCCTTGGTTGCAATGGGTTAGCTCAGACCAAGTACATGCACCCTCCCCACCAAGCTCACTGGGCCTCACCACAAAAGGGAACCCTGACTTCTTCCACACCCCTCCCCCAAATACTCACAGGCGAGTCTGAGCCCCTCTCTGCCTCAATTTCTCCGGCACCCGCCGCTGTGACACGGAAAGGAAAAAAATCCAAGTTACTATCAGAAAGGGCCTGGGAGGAAAGGGGACCCCGCTGGCTCAGGGGTGTGGGGGGGACGCTAGTGACTTGGGGGGCAGGGGGAAGGAGCCCCCCGGGAAAGGGAGGTCCCCAGTGATTCAGGGTGCAGGGAAACAGGCGCCCCCCAGGGAAAGGGGGGACCCCAGGGACTCGGGGGACAGGAGGGGAAGTGGGGTGCCTGTGACCGGGGGGGGGGCGGGAGGAAGGAGTCCCCGGAAAGGGGGGGCAGTGGGGACTCGGGGCACAAGGGGGGGACCCCGGGGGGCGCAGGGGAGGCCCATGACTTGGGAGGGGCGGGGGGGAGGAACCCCGGGAAGGGGGGGGACCCCGATGACGCGGGGGGCCGGGGCAGGGTGAGCCGCCATAGCTGGGGGGGGGGTCCCCGCTATCTACCGTCCCGCTCGGCCATAGATCCCGGCGCGGGGCTGCCCCGGTGCCTGCCCCGCTCGGCTCCGCCAGGCCCGACTGCGGCTCGGGACCGGGTCCGCCTCCCGCGGCAGAACTACAAGTCCCAGCGTGCCCCGCGCCCAGCACCAGCAGTCCCAGCCTGCCCCGCGCCCGGCCCTGACTGACAGTTCCCAGCGTGCCCCGCGCCCGGCCCTGAGCGAAGTTCCCAGCCTGCCCCGCGGCCAGGACCACAACTCCCAGCGTGCCCCGCGCCCGAGCTTGACTGACAGTTCCCAGCGTGCCCCGCGCCCAGCACCACAACTCCCAGCCTGCCCCGCGCCCAGCCCTGACCGAAGTTCCCAGCCTGCCCCGCGCCCAGCACCACAACTCCCAGCCTGCCCCGCGGCCCCAGGCCGCCGCCGCGGATTGGCTGGGGCGCTGGGGAATTCCCCGGGCCCCGAACTCCCGTCCCTGGGCGCCCCGGAGCCAGCGGCGCCGGCCCGGGCATGGCAGCGGCGCCCCGCGAGCCGCGGGGTTAGGGCGGGTCGCACAGCGATGGCGGAGCCGCAGCAGCGGGCGGGGCCGGGCCCGGGGCCGGGGCCGGGGGAGGCCAAGCGGCCGGAGGCGGGCGAGGACTGGTGCGACAGCGGCCTGGGCTCCCTGAGCGAGGGGCAGCTCAGCCAGATCCAGGAGGGCCTGGGGGCCCCCCACCCCCCTACTGCCGTCAGCGTGACCTCTGACCCCTGCCCCGGGGGTCGCCCCGTGACCTCTGACCCCTGCCCCGGGGGTCGCCCCGTGACCTCTGACCCCGGTGGCCCCAAGACCCCCGACTCCTGCGGGTCGGGCTCGGAGCGCCTGGACTCTGCCCTCGGCGACTCCCTGGGCGAGGACGAAGCCGGCTGGGGGGCGGCCGTGGGGCAGGAGGTGGGGGCGATCACCCAGGGCGTGGAGGCCGTGCGGCTCGGGGAGACGCCCGCGGTGGCCCCCGAGGCCTGGCTGCACCACGTCCTGGGCTTCGTGACCGAGGACGGGGATACGTAAGTATGCGGGCGCCTGCTTTGTTCAGCCTCGTCCGTGACTTGGGAGAGGGGGGTTCAGGCACCCCGGTGTCTCCCTCTGGCCTCGGTGCAGCTCCCTTATAGGATGTAGGGAACCCTCTCTCAGTAATAGGTTTCGGAGTGGTAGCCGTGTTAGTCTGTATCGGCACAAACAAGGAGGGCTCCTCATTTTTCTCTTGGTAATTGTCCCTTCTTAGGGTCTCTTTGTTCCTAGCCCCGACTCCAAAACCCTGCCTCGGGTCCCAGTCCTGGGGGCTAAGTTATGTGGAAGGCAACGCGGGGACAGGGCCCCACTGCTCTGTGCTCTTAGCAACGAACCTCAGAACGACAGGGATGCACCCCTGCTCTTGGATCTTAACTGGCATTTTGGTCGAGAAAGTGCAGCATGGGGTGGGGGGTGGGTCTTTTGAGTCATCGGCTCCTCAGTCCTGACCCACAGCCACCCCCTTGCTCTAGTTTTGGACTTCGGACACACAGCAGACAGACCCCTAAACTGCAGGTCCCCTGCTGTCTCCATTGACAGTGGCCCTCAATCCCTGGTCTCTCGGTCCTGGGACACTTTAAGCATCGTCTGAAAATCCGTCACCGTTGGGAGCCTTTTCCATTGCCCAAACGCATACAAGATTTGCCCTATGGCCTCCCTGCTACCTCCCCAGCTCCTTGGTACTTGTGCGCTCTTTGCTGACTCGATCGAGTCTTCTGCTTGCTAATCACTTCCTGTTCAGGGGCGGTATTTTCAGCCAGTTGCGCGGTACCGCTTTTTCATTTTGCTTGGACTGGGATCTGTTTTTCTCTCCCCAGAGCCCTCCACCTGGCAGTGATTCATGAGCATGAAGCCTTTCTGGATTCTATCCTGCAGTATATGGCTAGGACGGAATACTTGGATCTGCAGAACGACCTGGGCCAGGTTGGGCCGAGACTGGAGCATTTCCTGTCTGTATCATCCTCTGTTTTACAGTGGGGAAACTGAGGCATGAGGGGGCAAATTGGCTTGCCTGAAGATTGCACAGCAAGCCGGGGGGCAGAACTCGGGAGTACTGGCTCCCAGTCTGGTCCCCACATGATGCCACCTCCTTTATGAAATGCGTGGGGTGCTGGTTGGAAAATGAAACACAACCCCATGTTAAAAGCCCCTCAGCATCATAAATGACGTGTGGGAGGAGGGAAGAGAGTTACAGAGCACAACTATCTCTTTGGGGCTGGAACTGTCCCTAGCTTTGTGTTTGTACCACATCTGGCACGATGGAGTCCCAACCAGATGGAGATGCTACTGCAAAATAAGTGATCAAGAACCAGGGCTGGCATCAAAACACGTCCGCCCCTTTTGTGGCAGAGGGATGGGGAGCAAGCGTGGGGGCTTGACAGCAGTGATGGGGTCAGGGAAGGCTTCGTTTCAGGACGTAAGCTGATCTTCACTCATCCTGGGGTCTTCGCTCATCCCAGGCGGATAAACTGACTTCCACGCAGCTCCTCGTGCACAGGGAGGATAAGACCTTGTCCGCCCTGCGCCCGAGTATTACAGGCGGCTTTTGTGAGAATAGTGGATTTACCCTAGCGTCCTTGGCTAAATTTCCTGACCCTCTTGTGCGATTGGCTGCTGGCCTCCTACCCCAGCACTGTTCCTGGGGTATAGAGTGCAAAGCTGTTTGGGAGAATTTGGGGTGAAATCCACTGAAAGAAGTGCTCTCTAGTGCTGTTGATGAGGATCGACCAGGCCCCTTTTAGGGGAGACCTACCCTAAGCTTTCTCACCCCCTCTCTCTCGTTGCCCTTCTCCAGACGGCACTGCATATTGCAGTCATCCTCGGCGCCTCCAACTTTGTCCGCAAGCTGATGGCAGCCGGGGCGGGGCTCTGCGTGCAGGAGAGAGCTGGCCACACAGCGCTGCACCTGGCATGCCGGGAGGGCTGGCGGGACTGCGCACAGTGCCTCCTGGCAGCGCTGAGCGGGCACTGGCCCGGCAAGGGGAATGACGCCTGCGCTCAGTTGGACTGCACCAATTATGATGGTATGGAGCCTCTCGTCACCCGCCTGGCAAATACACTGGGCCCGTTACACGTGGGACCTTTGTCCTGAGCGTTCTCACCCTCCTTCCCTTCCCCTCCCCTTCCCCAGCCAATAAGGAGCTGGCACCACAACCTGGCACCAGCCCAGCTCCCATGGCCAGAGCATGTAGCGCTCCAGCTATTCTCTGCTTCCCCCGAGCTTGTGGAGGGTCGAACATGAGTTAGAGGCTTCTCTGACATACCCAAGGGCCAGAGAACACCAGAATTTGGCCACCACCAAAGTGGCTTCGATGCCCGTTTGCCTCGAGTGCAGAAGTGGCTTAACTGAGAGTGAGGCCCGCCACTTTGGGGGTGACAAAAACCAAAAAGCAGTATGCTGGATGGATACATAGTCTGCTGTGTAGCCCAAAGTTAACCTGTGGAACTCCCTGCTGCAGGACACGACTGGTGCGAAGAAATCAATGAGACTGCATAAAAGATCCCTCTAGTCTTGTCCCCCCCCCCTAGCAGGGCGAACAATCCTCTCGTGTTGCCATGACAGCAGCCAGCTGGTCCACCGATAGGTTGCTAGGTGGCCTGAGGGAGACAGAAATCAACTTGATCAAAATTGTCTGCTCTTGGTTTCCACAGGTTACACGCCGCTGCACGTGGCTGTCCTGCAGAAGGACCTCGAAGTGGTCAAGCTCCTTGTGGATGCCGGAGCCGATCTCAACAAGGCGGTTAGTACTGGGGCTGGTGTGGATCGTGTCCCGGGAGGGTGGAAAGAGATCGAAGGCATTTACCCTTCCCAGAGTACTCCGTGGCAGCCTCTCTGACTTGTCTGTCCACCGCTGGCAGGAGCTGAGCTGTGGGCGGAGTCCCCTCCACTTGGCAGTGGAGTCGCAGAGCCCGGAAGTGGTGGAGTGCCTGCTGCGCGCCGGTGCGGACCCGAGGGCCCGGATGAGCGCCGGTTACACCCCCATCTATAGCGCCGTGCACAGGCCCAGCCAGAAGATCTTGCAGCTGCTCCGGGAGTTCGGCTCGGAGGAGCCCGACTGGGACTCGGAGGAGAGCCCGGCTGACAGCAGCGACGTGAGTGGGGTGGGGGTACTGAATTAACACCGCAGGAGGCTGGAGCGCCGCTGGCACCTGGGCGAAGCCAGGCCAAGCGTCCCCCCTTGCTCTGTCCTAGAGCAGCTCCTCCCCCTCCAGGAGCGAGGCTAGACAGCAGTGCTGGAAAGCCATTCCCATTCTCTAGCTATGTAGCACCCCCCAGGTGAACGAATTGGCAGGTCTCAGCCTGGTTCCTAGTCCGCTCTGCCACTAACTAGCCCCCTCCTGGGTAAGCCTAGTGGACACTGAAGATCAAACAGGACCCACAGAGACTGAACCCCCTCCTTAGAGTGGGTCCCTCTAAAACACAATGGGTGGGGAAGCTGGCATTGCGATTGGCAGCAGCGCAGACCAAAGGGGTCTTTCACCAGCAAGGGAGTCTCTTTTCAAAGGGATTGAGTTCCTCGAGTCTCTGGTCTATTGGATTAACGCAGACCAGGTTAAGGGGTGATGGGATCAGCTGGTAAATACCTACCTCGCAGTGCTTCATTGGTAGTAAAAGAGGTGCTGGGGCGCGAGCAATTTTTTTTAACATTCCTGACTGACGTGGCAAGTCCTGAGATGCCAGTGCTGTGAATTGCCAAGCCTAAAGGTGCCAGGACTCGGCCCTAGCACCAATCCAGCCCTGCTACGTGGGTATGAGAAATTTGACAGTAGCTGGCTCTTCAGTCTTCCACCAGTTGGAAATGGAAGCATTGACTTGTCTAGCTTCAGGAGATAAGGGCAATTTTTTAACAGAGTAATTAGTCCTTAATTTTCCTAGAGCTGTGATGGATTCTCCATCACTGACCATGTTTAAATCAAAATTGGTGGTGTCCCCGTCCCCCCCCCAATCTGCTGTAGTTCAAACAGCAATTAATTCAGGGCGGCTCCGAGGCCTGCGTTTTACAGGAAGTCAGACTCGATCAGTCGTCCCTTCTGGCCTCAGGATCTATGAGCCTAATACAAGAAGGGAAGAAAGCTGAACGTGGGGCATTGGCAGCGACGGCAGATTTTGTGTGCGTGGTTGTTTTAATCTGGCCCTGCCCACCTGCTGCGTAACCGTCTCTAAACACGCCCACGCCCCCTTCGATCCCGCCATCCCGCTAATGTCATCAACGAAGCTCTCCCGTTTTTCAGGAGGACTACGACGACATCGTCATCAACCGTGGACACTATAAGAACTGACGGGGCTGGGCCGGCATCGCCTGCAGCGTGAGCCGTTCCCCCATCTCCATAAGACTCGCATCCTGCCCTGCCGCTGTGGGAATAAATTTGGCAGTGGTGCAGTCTCTCCGTTCCCAGCTAGTTCCAATTATTTATCCAAAAGCTGCAGTCTCTGGCTGTTACTTGGAACCAGTAGCTAAAATTCACCAGAGCTTTGATCTAATCCGTTTATTTCCCCTCTCACTTGTTCGTTTTCCTCCGTGTTTCTTAGTTTAGTCAGTTTATATCGAGTTATTTGGATTACGTTCAAATTTTAAAAAATGGTATTTCGGCACCTGCTGCTTTTTGCAGTCGCAGCTGGGATGGATTGTCAGCAGGATTTCTCTGTTCGCTGTAGCCTTTGCCCTGTCGAGCCTCCGGCTGTTGGCTTTCGAAGCGGGAGCGTCATCCCTACCCGTGCAAGGGGTCTTGCTGGAGTCCACGGATGCTAGTCGCATAACCAAGCAATTCGGGTCAGTGGGGAGCTGCACAAAACGGGGTGCGGGCCTGGCTGGCTTTTAGCTGCCTTTCAGACACCTTGGGCCTGTTTGCTTTTATATTGAGAAGCAGGGAGCACCGCCTTACTCCAGTTGGATTTAGTACTTGGGGCCGGATTCTTTTTAGCCGCTTCCTAACAGAGGCGGATGGATTTTCACGAGCGCCGTGCAGCCCTGGTCTCCTCCCCCGGCTGTAAGGACAAGGGCGGGTGAGTGCTTTTGAAAATCTGGGCCTCTGCTAGCGTTTAGGATCGAACGGCCAGACAGGGGCAATAGCTCCAACGCAGGGTAGGAGGATTGAAACGGGCAGGGCGGGGGAGAAATTCACAGGAGGAGCAGATGAGGCTGGTGAGGTCTGTTATGAGCAGAGTGAGGAAGAAGAGGGAAGAGAGGCCAAAGAGGGAGACCTTTTAGATCTCAAAGGTGGGGGCGTGAGGTTGGAAAGAGCCAAGGTGGGTTTGGAGCTGTCTGATTTGGGTCGGGCGTGGAGAAGGAGGGACTGCGTTTGTGCCTTGTCTGTAGGAATCGTGCCTCTCTGGTACCTGGCCAATCTTGGTTTCGTCTAAGCACCTCCACCAGTACTGCAAGGTGGGACCATCTTCATTCCTTTCCCAGAGGAGTCGGTTTTCTTCCTCTCTGCCCGTTGACTGGCTGTAAAGCCTCGTTCGTGCCATACTTGACGCTGGGTGTTGATGGGGTCTCTTCTGGAGCCGCGCGGGAAGCGGATTTCCCATCCCATTACGGTTTTGGAGATCCAAAATTGGGCAGAAAACGCCCAGCTCCGCCTTTCCCGAGCGGAAGGGCTGAAAATCATTTCAGTTGAGGCGTTCGATTTTGATCGTTTTGTAAGTCTGAATTTACTCATTTCAAAACCAAAAGTTGTTTTGACTCCAAAACTGGAACCTTTCCTTGTTAAAACAGGACGTTTCACCGGTTTTAAACCCCCAGCGCCCTCCCAGTGTTCTGAACTGAGCAAGTCAGCCAGAGCGGCCCTGTTCGCAAGTAGCCTTGGCTTTGACAGATTGACGTGGTTCTCCCTCCCCCTGGGGGAACGGTTTGTCAGATTCCCGACTAGCTCTGATCTTTGCATCTAACACCGTGGACCCTCAATGGAGACGGGACCGCTGGGTGCTGTGCTGTCTGAAATTGCTTCTGTTTGCCGGGGGGGAATTTTGGAAGAACTGTCGTAAGCAGGCCTGAGACTTGATTTAGAAACTGTCTGCATTAGTTACAGATGGCTTTTCAGTACGACCTCCTCCCTCCCCCCCCCCCCCCCCGCCCCCCATTTGAGCTTTGGAAGGGTGCGGGGAGAAAAGATCGAATTCTAAACAAAATCCTCCTCGTTTGACGAGGCTGCCGTTTTCTCCTTTACGTTCTCACGCTTCTTGTAAACGAAAACCCAGCCCAAAACGTAAGGGAAGAGCGGGGCTCTCTGCTTTTTAGGGGACGGGGGTTAATTCTCAAGGGCCGAGCACCTTAGCTGACATCAATGTGATCTCAGTACCAGGAGGTGGGGGCTGGCTAATGAGGTTCTGGATGTGTCGAGGGGAGGGGGGGGCGGAAGCAGTAGTTTTCCTGGGAAGTGGGGTTGGATTTTTAGTTCACTTGCCCCAGTGCGAAGGACTGAGGGACCTGACTGTGTTAGAGTCAATAATGCTGGGAAAAGTATTATTTTCTCAAGTGGACCACGATTGAGCCCTCTCGGCCTCTGTACTTATTACTAAAGGGCTTGTCTAACACACCAGTTGTAGCTCTTCAACAACCCCTGGCGCTGTGCAGCAGGAGATGACAAAGCAGATCAAGCGCATTGTCCCCATTTTACAGATGGGGAAATGGAGGCACAAGGTCACCCAGCAGGCCAGTGGGCAAACTGGGAGTAGAACCCAGGTTCAGCAAGTCCCTGGTCCAGGGCTCTATGCACTAGGCCACCCTGCCTCTTTGTGTCTGTCTAGTTAAAGTTGTACAAGCCCATCTGTGGGCCTGCCGTTATACTGACACTGGGAAGGGGAATGGGTTGTACCAATATAAGGCACCTATCAGTAACACCCCCCCCCCAAGTGACCTGGGGCTTCTCCCAGTTTAACTCCCGAAAGCAACCTGGTCCCTGGCTGATTGTTCTCGAACACCGTGCCGAAGAGGCTGGCTCAGCAGAAGGGAAATGGCTTTTTCTATGTAAGCATTGTCTGTTCATTTCCCCAGCTGGCTCTGTGCCTAGAGACACAGAGACCGCATAACTCGCGTCCAGTGCCTGTGGGTTTTAAGCTATGTTGTGAGTTTTGTATGAGCTGTCGTCTAACTTTATCCGGTTCTGTGTGTGTGTGTTCTTTCTCCCCACTCTCTGTATCGTGTATGTTCTTGACCAGGGATGGGGGATGAGATTAAAACTACCGCTTGCCCTATACAGCGTGTCTGGTGTTTGTGTGGAGGGCAGGGCGTTTGGACAGAGGATTGGACTCGCAGCATCACAGCCATAGTCCATCTCTAATAATAACAGGTTCTTACATAGCACTTCCCATCCATAGAGCTCAAAGTGCTGTACAAAGGAGGTAAGCAGCATTTTATCCCCATTTTACAGACAGGAAAACTGAGGCACAGAAAGGGGAAGGTCATGCACCAGGCCAGTGGCAGAGCTGAGCCTGGAACTCCTGAGGACCAGCCCTGCGCTCTACCTACTAGGCCATGCTGCCTCCCTGATCTAGCCCCGCATCCTGCCCCCCACGCAGTGCGTACTTCCCTCTCCGGAGTTCTGAATTTGCCACCTTTTCAGTTTCCTCGAATGCTTCCTTTGTTCTTGTGTTGGGAGAAGAGAGACTCCCGCTCTGGCTCCAGGACTTTCGCTGGTAACGGTAAAGAAGCACTGTGCCTACTTTGGCCCTGTCTACCCTACGGGCGCTCCAGCTGCTGCAGGGGAGATGCTTTATGTGTAGCCAGAAGCTGTTTTTCTGCTGCTGGAGTTAATCTGGGTGGTGGTCGCTGGGTCAACAGAAGAATTCTTCCAGCGACCTAGCTGTGTCTAGGCCAGGCACTCCATTTTCCACACCCCTGCACGTGACCCAGTGGACGTGTAGACCACACTTGGCATTGACCAGCAGACCTATTGCAGCCTAAGCTATTCTGGTATCATTTGACTTTGCGTGTGGAATAACGATCCTGGAATAGGTTTCAGAGGGGTAGCCGTGTTAGTCTGTATCCGCAAAAAGAATGAGGAGTCCTCGTGGCACCTTAGAGACCAACACATTTATTTGAGCATAAGCTTTCGTAGGCTACAGCCCACTTCATCAGATGCGTGGAGTGGAAAATACATCTGATGAAGTGGGCTGTAGCCCACAAAAGCGCATGCTCAAATAAATGTGTTAGTCTCTAAGCTGCCACAAGTCCTCCTGTTCTTTAGCCTGGAATAGAGCCACTTCTTCCAGAATAGAGTATCCAACCGGGGCTGAGATACTGAGCTAGGTCCGCCAGCCAGTTTTCCCCTCCTAAGACGTTCCAGGGGTTTTGAAGGAATCTGACGTCTAGGCTTTATGTTGGCTCTGCCTAGGGTGACATTAGCTCTTACAGAGCGCTGCGTTTTCCAAGCACTCCGAATCAGAGACGTGTCGGGCTGGAAGGGACCGCGGGCGGTCGTCTAGTCCAGCCCCCCGCGCTGAGGCAGGACCAAGTCCAACCTGTCCTTAAAAACCTCCAGGGACGGGGATCCCACAACCTCCCTGGGACGCCTGTTCCGGAGCTTCACTGCCCTGAGAGTCAGAAAGTTTGTCCTAATATCTCACCTAAATCTCCCTTGCTGCCGATTAAACCCATTACGGCTTGTCCTCCCTCCAGGGAGAACAAGTGGGGTATGGCTTCCCCCCCCACCACCACCAAAAGACAAAAATCTTTAAAAACCGCCCCCCTACCACCAGGAGAGTTTGACCCTGAAAAGGGAAACGTGTCAAAGCTTCGGTGCCTGATTTATGAGTGTACACAGAAGGGGCCCGGATGCTGCCGTGCTGGGAGTCCGTGACATGACTAGATGGCCCACGTGCTGGAGGTACTTAGCATGTTTGTAAAGGCCACTGAAATGAATGGGGAGCCGTTCACACCTGCGAGAGAGGGGCCACGGGCTTTCTGCTGGCTTGTATTGCATTGCAAAACCAGCCGGAAGCTGGATTGTCTCAAACGGCCAAGCCGCAAGAAGGTTGGGGGGGTTAGTAGTCCAAATTTGGGGTTGTTTCAGCTGTCCCCACCCCCTGCGACATCAGTAGTTTATAGTTCTTAGCTTTTTTTTGCACATCCTGGAGGGTCAAACTATGGCCCCAAATTGATCTCCTCTAGTGTCTAACAGCCACTGCCCCTTTGGGGTAGCAATATTTAAAAAGTTATCCCCGGTAAAAGTTGGCTTGAACCCAGCTGACATACCCGAGAAAATCACTTGTGTGTTTGCAGGGGTGTCACACCTTAACTCGCCCCTTCCTGGTTTTCAGAGGCACCACTGAGCAACTAACTGCATTCATGAAGCCATGGGGCAGTTAATACAACTCCATGTTTAACAGATTCAAGTTCTCCCTTTGCTTATTAAAACAGTCGTTGAACGGGTGCTGGGAAAAAGCCAGAGCTTTAGCTTAAAAAGATAAAAATCGGTCTCACGTGGGCGGTGCAGCCCTTTGAAAGGGACACAATCAACTTCAAATATAGTCCGTTTCAACCA